TTTGGAACTCTTTTCCCTCCATCAAAGCCATTATGAGTCTCTCAAATTCCGGTCATCTAATCACGCTCTACTTTCGTTGGTTGCCTTTGGAACTCTTTTCCCTCCATCAAAGCCATTATGAGTCTCTCAAATTCCGTCATCTAATCACGCTCTACTTTCGTTGGTTGCCTTTGGAACTCTTTTCCCTCCATCAAAGCCATTATGAGTCTCTCAAATTCCGTCATCTAATCACGCTCTACTTTCTTTTGGTTGCCTTTGGCACTCTTTTCCCTCCATCAAAGCCATTATGAGTCTCTCAAATTCCGTCATCTAATCACGCTCTACTTTCGTTGGTTGCCTTTGGAACTCTTTTCCCTCCATCAAAGCCATTATGAGTCTCTCAAATTCCGTCATCTAATCACGCTCTACTTTCGTTGGTTGCCTTTGGAACTCTTTTCCCTCCATCAAAGCCATTATGAGTCTCTCAAATTCCGTCATCTAATCACGCTCTACTTTCGTTGGTTGCCTTTGGAACTCTTTTCCCTCCATCAAAGCCATTATGAGTCTCTCAAATTCCGTCATCTAATCACGCTCTACTTTCGTTGGTTGCCTTTGGAACTCTTTTCCCTCCATCAAAGCCATTATGAGTCTCTCAAATTCCGTCATCTAATCACGCTCTACTTTCGTTGGTTGCCTTTGGAACTCTTTTTCCCTCCATCAAAGCCATTATGAGGTCTCTCAAATTCCGTCATCTAATCACGCTCTACTTTCGTTGGTTGCCTTTGGAACTCTTTTCCCTCCATCAAAGCCATTATGAGTCTCTCAAATTCCGTCATCTAATCACGCTCTACTTTCGTTGGTTGCCTTTGAACTCTTTTCCCTCCATCAAAGCCATTTGAGTCTCTCAAATTCTTCTAATCACCTCCATCAAAGCCTTTGGAACTCTTTTCCTCCATCAAAGCCATTATAAGTCTCTCAAATTCCGTCATCTAATCACGCTCTACTTTCGTTGGTTGCCTTTGGAACTCTTTTCCCTCCATCAAAGCCATTATGAGTCTCTCAAATTCCGTCATCTAATCACGCTCTACTTTCGTTTGGTTGCCTTTTGGAACTCTTTTCCCTCCATCAAAGCCATTATGAGTCTCTCAAATTCCGTCATCTAATCACGCTCTACTTTCGTTGGTTGCCTTTGAACTCTTTTTCCCTCCATCAAAACCATTATGAGTCTCTCAAATTTCGTCATCTAATCACGCTCTACTTTCGTTGGTTTTTGCCTTTGGAACTCTTTTCCCTCCATCAAAGCCATTATGAGTCTCTCAAATTCCGTCATCTAATCACGCTCTACTTTCGTTGGTTGCCTTTGAACTCTTTTTCCCTCCATCAAAGCCATTATGAGTCTCTCAAATTCCGTCATCTAATCACACTCTACTTTCGTTGGTTGCCTTTTGGAACTCTTTTTCCCTCCATCAAAGCCATTATGAGTCTCTCAAATTCCGTCATCTAATCACGCTCTACTTTCGTTGGTTGCCTTTGGAACTCTTTTCCCTCCATCAAAGCCATTATGAGTCTCTCAAATTCCGTCATCTAATCACGCTCTACTTTCGTTGGTTGCCTTTGGAACTCTTTTTTTCCTCCATCAAAGCCATTATGAGTCTCTCAAATTCCGTCATCTAATCACGCTCTACTTTCGTTGGTTGCCTTTGGAACTCTTTTCCCTCCATCAAAGCCATTATGAGTCTCTCAAATTCCGTCATCTAATCACGCTCTACTTTCGTTGGTTGCCTTTGGAACTCTTTTCCCTCCATCAAAGCCATTATGAGTCTCTCAAATTCTGTCATCTAATCACGCTCTACTTTCGTTGGTTGCCTTTGGAACTCTTTTCCTCCATCAAAGCCATTATGAGTCTCTCAAATTCCGTCATCTAATCACGCTCTACTTTTTCGTTGGTTGCCTTTGGAACTCTTTTCCCTCCATGCCATTTGGTCTCTCAAATTCCGTCATCTAATCACGCTCTACTTTCCCTTTGGAACTCCATCCATCAAAGCCATTATGAGTCTCTCAAATTCCGTCATCTAATCACGCTCTACTTTCGTTGGTTGCCTTTTGGAACTCTTTTTTTTCCCTCCATCAAAGCCATTATGAGTCTCTCAAATTCGTCATCTAATCACGCTCTACTTTCATTTGAATTTTACTTTTAGAACTTCTTTTCCCCTCCATCTGAAATAACTATGAGTCTCTCATTCTGCTCATCTAATCAAGCTCTACTTTCGTTGGTTGCCATGGAACTCTTTCCCTCCATCAAAAGCCATTATGAGTCTCTCAATTCGTCGTCTAATCCACTCTGCAATTTGGTTGCCTTTGGAACTCTTTTCCCTCCATCCGTATTATGCAGTCTCTAAATTCCGTCATCTAATCACGCTCTACTTTTCGTTAGTTTGCCTTTGAACTCTTTTCCCTCCATTACAAAATTTAAATCAACTAATCAGTCTCATTTCATTGTTTCCTTTGGAACTCTTTCATCTCGAAAACAATTCACGCTCTACTTTCGTTGGTTGCCTTTGAACTCTTTTCCCTCCATCAAAGCCATTAAAAGCTCAATCATCTAATGAGCTCTCTGTTGGTTTAACTCTTTTCCATCATCATTATGAGTCTCTCAAATTCCGCTCTACTTTTTCGTTGGTTGCCTTTGGAACTCTTTTCCTCCATCAAAGCCATTATGAGTCTCTCAAATTCGTCATCTAATCCGCTCTACTTTCGTTGGTTGCCTTTGGAACTCTCCATCAAAGGAACATTATGGTCTCTCCTCATCATCACTCAACTTTCGTTGGTTGCCTTTGAATTCTTTTCCCTCCTAAAGCCATATGAGTCTCTCAAGTTCCGTCATCTAATCACACGCTCTACTTTCGTTGGTTGCCTTGGAACCTTTTCTCCGTCTCCATCAAAGCTCATTATGAGTCTCTCAAATTTGAAGTCTCATCTAATCACGCTCTACTTTCGTTGGTTGCCTTTGGAACTTTTCCCTCCATCAAAGCCATTATGAGTCTCAAATTCCGTCATCTAATCACGTCTCTACTTTTCGTTGGTTGCATTTAAACAGACTTTTCCTCCATCAAAGCCATTATGAGTCCTCAAATTTCATCTAATCACGCTCTACTTTCGTTGGTTGCCTTTTGGAACTCTTTCCTCCATCAAAGACATTATGAGTCTCTCAAACCCGTCATCTAATCACGCTCAACTTTCGTTGGTTGCCTTTGGAATTTTTTCCCCCTCATCAAAGCCATTATGAGTCTCTCAAATTCCGTCATCTAATCACGCTCTACTTTCGTTGGTTGCCTTTTGGAACTCTTTTTTCCTCCATCAAAGCCATTATGAGTCTCTCAAATTCCGTCATCTAATCACTCTACTTTCGTTCAGATTTTGCCTTTGAACTCTTTTCCCTCCATCAAAGCCATTATGAGTCTCTCTCAAATTCCGTCATCTAATCACGCTCTACTTTCGTTGGTTGCCTTGGAACTCTTTTCCCCTCCATCAAAGGCATTATGAGTCTCTCAAATTCGTCATCTAATCCGCTCTACTTTCGTTGTTTGCATTTGGAACTCTTTTTCTCCATCAAACCATTATGAGTCTCTCAAATTCCGTCATCTAACTCTACTTTCGTTGGTTGCCTTGGAACCTTTTCCCCTCCATCAAAGCCGTATGAGTCTCTCAATTCCGTCATCTAATCACGCTCTACTTTCGTTGGTTGCCTTTGGAATTTCTTTCCTCCATCTCAAATTAAGCCATTGCTTGGTTGCCTTTGGAACTCTCTCCTCAAATTCCGTCATCCGTAATCACGCTCTGTTATCGTTGGTTGCCTTTGGAACTCTTTTTCCTCCATCAAAGCCATTATGAGTCTCTCAAATTCTGGAAGTCGTCATCTAATCACTCTACTTTCGTTTGTTTTGCCTTTGGAACTCTTTTCCCCTCCATCATCAGCCATTATGAGTCTCTCAAATTCTGTCATCTAATCACGCTCTACTTTCGTTGGTTGCCTTTGGAACTCTTTTTCCCTCCATCAAAGTCTCTCAAATTTATCATCTAATCTCCTAAATTTGTCATCTAAGAACCGCTAAAATTCTCTTTCTGTTGGTTGCCTTTGGAACTCTTTTTTCCCTCCATCAAAGCCATTATGAGTCTCTCAAATTCCGTCATCTAATCACGCTCTACTTTTTGGTTGCTTTTGAATTCTTTTCCCTCATCAAAGCTATTATAAGTCTCTCTCAAATTCCGTCATCTAATCAAGCTCTACTTTTCGTTGGTTGCCTTGAACTCTTTTTCCCTCCATCAAAGCCATTATGAGTCTCTCAAATTCTGTCATCTAATCACGCTCTACTCTTTTCTGTTGGTTGATCTCCTTTTGGAACTGCTCTTTTCCCTCCATCAAAGCCATTATGAGTCTCTCAAATTCCGTCATCTAATCACGCTCTACTTTCGTTTGGTTGCCTTTTGGAACTCTTTTCCTCCATCAGCTTGCCATTATGAGTCTCTCAAATTCCGTCATCTAATCACGCTCTACTTTCGTTGGTTGCCTTTGGAACTCTTTTCCCTCCATCAAAGCCATTAAGAATCTCTCAAATTCCGTCCATCTAATCCACTCTCTCTTTTCTGTTGGTTGCCTTCGCTCTTTTCCCTCCATCAAAGCCATTATGAGTCTCTCAAATTCCGTCATCTAATCACGCTCTACTACTTTCGTTGGTTGCCTTTGGAACTCTTTTCCCCTCCATCAAAGCCATTATGAGTCTCTCAAATTCGTCATCTAATCACGCTCTACTTTCGTTGGTTGCCTTTGGAACTCTTTTCCCTCCATCAAAGCCATTATGAGTCTCTCAAATTCCGTCATCTAATCGCTCTACTTTTCGTTGGTTGCCTTTGGAATCTTTTCCCTCCATCAAAGCCATTATGAGTCTCTCTAAATTCCGTCATCTAATCCGCTCTACTTTCGTTTGTTGCCTTTGGACTCTTTTCCCTCCATCAAAGCCATTATGAGTCTCTCTCAAATTCCGTCATCTAATCACACTCTTTCGTTGGTTTGCCTTTGGAACTCTTTTCCTCCCCTCCATTATGAGTCTCTCAAATTCCGTCATCTAATCACGCTCTACTTTCTTTTGGTTTTCTTTGAACTCTTTTTCCCTCCATCAAAGCCATTATGAAAGTCTAATCTCAAACTCTTTCCCTCCATCCATTATGAGTCTCTCAAATTCCGTCATCTAATCACGCGCTCTACTTTCGTTGGTTGCCTTTGAACTCTTTTCCCCTCCATCAAAGCCATTATAAGTCTCTCAAATTCTGTCATCTAATCACGCTTCACTTTCGTTGGTTGCCTTTGGAACTCTTTCCATCCATCAAAGCTATTATGAGTCTCTCAAATTCCGTCATCTAATCACGCTCTACTTTCGTTGGTTGCCTTTTGGAACTTTTTTCCCTCCATCAAAGCCATTATGAGTCTCTCAAATTCCGTCATCTAATCACACTCTACTTTCGTTGGTTGCATTTGGAACTCTTTTCCTCCATCAAAGCCGTATGAGTCTCTCAAATTCCGTCATCTGTCCACTCTACTTTCGTTGGTTGCCTTTGGAACTCTTTTCCCCTCCATCAAAGCCATTATGAGTCTCTCAAATTCCGTCATCTAATCACGCTCTACTTTCGTTGGTTGCCCTTTTTTGAACTCTTTCCCATCCATCAAAGCCATTATGAGTCTCTCAAATTCCGTCATCTAATCACGCTCTACTTTCGTTGGTTGCCTTTGGAACTCTTTTTCCCTCCATCAAAGCCATTATGAGTCTCTCAAATTCCGTCATCTAATCACGCTCTACTTTTCTTTTTTGTTGCCTTTGGAACTCTTTCCCTCCATCAAAGCCATTATGAGTCTCTCAAATTCCGTCATCTAATCACGCTCAACTTTCGTTGGTTGATTTGGAACTCTTTTCCCTCCATCAAAGCCATTATGAGTCTAAATTCCGGTCATCTAATCACACTCTACTTTCGTTTGTTGCCTTTGGACTCTTTTCCCTCCATCAAAGCCATTATGGTCTCTCAAATTCAATCATCTAATCACGCTCAACTTTCGTTGGTTGCCTTTGGAACTCTTTTCCCTCCATCAAAGCCATTGCGGAGTCTCCCTCAAATTCCGTCATTTCACGCTCTTTCCACTCTTTTCCTCCATCAAAGCCATTATGAGTCTCTCAAATTCCGTCATCTAATCACGCTCTACTTTCGTTGGTTGCCTTTGGAACCTTTTTTCCTCCATCAAAGCCATTATGAGTCTCTCAAATTCCGTCATCTAATCACGCTCTACTTTCGTTGGTTGCCTTTTGAATTTTTTCCCCTCCATCAAAAGACATTATGAGTCTCTCAATTCCGTCATCTAATCACGCTCTAATTTCGTTGGTTGCCTTTTGGAACTCTTTTCCCCTCCATCAAAAGCCATTATGAGTCTCTCAAATTCCGTCATCTAATCACGCTCTACTTTCGTTGGTTGCCTTTGGGTCTTTTTCCCTCCATCAAAGCCATTATGAGTCTCTCAAATTCCGTCATCTAATCACGCTCTACTTTCTTTTGGTTGCTTTTGGAACATCAAAGCCATATTATCCCAAATTCCGTCATCTAATAACGCCTACTTTCGTTGGTTGCCTTTTGGAACTCTTTTTCCTCCATCAGCCATTATGAGTCCGTCAAATTCTGTCATCTAATCGCTCTACTTTCGTTGGTTGCCTTTTGGAACTCTTTTCCCTCCATCAAAGCCATTATGAGTCTCTCAAATTCCGTCATCTAATCACGCTCTACTTTCGTTGGTTGCCTTTGGAACTCTTTTTTTCCTCCATCAAAGACATTATGAGTCTCAAATTCTGTCATCTAATCACGCTCTACTTTCGTTGGTTGCCTTTGGAACTTTTTTTCCCCTCCATCAAAGCCTTATTATAAGTCTCTCAAATTCCGTCATCTAATCACGCTCAACTTTCGTTGGTTGCCTTTGGAACTCTTTTCCTCCATCAAAGCCATATGTCTCTCAAATTCCGTCATCTAATCACGCTCTACTTTTCGTTGGTTGCCTTTGAAACTCTTTTTCCTCCATCAAAGCCATATTATGAGTCTCTCAAATTCCGTCATCTAATCACGCTCTACTTTCGTTGGTTGCATTTGAACTCTTTCCCCCTCCATCAAAGCCATTATGAGTCTCTCAAATTCGTCATCTAATCACGCTCTACTTTCGTTTGGTTGCCTTTGGAACTTTTTCCCTCCATCAAAGCCATCCCCCAAATTCTGTCATCTAATCACGCTCACTTTCGTTGGTTGCCTTTGAACTCTTTTCCCTCCATCAAAGCCATTTTCCGTCATCTAATCAAAACTTTCGTTGGTTCTTTTGAAACTTTTTCCTCCATCATTATGAGTCTCTCAAATTCTGTCATCTCTACTTTCGTTGGTTGCCTTTGGAACTTTTCCCTCCATCAAAGCCATTATGAGTCTCTCAAATTCCATCTAATCACGCTCTACTTTCGTTGGTTGCCTTTGAGACTCTTTCCCCTCCATCAAAGCCATTATGAGTCTCTCAAATTCCGTCATCTAATCACGCTCTACTTCGTTGGTTGCCTTTGAACTCTTTTCCTCCATCAAGCCATTATGAGTCTCTCAAATTCCGTCATCTAATTACGCTCTACTTTCGTTGGTTGCCTTTTGGAACTCTTTTCCCTCCATCAAAGCCATTATAAGTCTCTAAATTCCGTCATCTAATCACGCTCTAATTTCGTTGGTTGCCTTTGGAACTCTTTTCCCTCCATCAAAGCCATTATGAGTCTCAAATTCCGTCATCTAATCACGCTCTACTTTTCGTTGGTTGCCTTTGGAACTCTTTTCCCTCCATCAAAGCATTATGAGTCTCTCAAATTCCGTCATCTAATCACGCTCTACTTTCGTTGGTTGCCTTTGGAACTCTTTTCCCTCCATCAAAGCCATTATGAGTCTCTCAAATTCCGTCATCTAATCATCTACTTTCGTTTGTTTGCCTTTGGAACTCTTTTCCCTCCATCAAAGCCATTATGAGTCTCTCAAATTCCGTCATCTAATCCGCTCCTACTTTCGTTGGTTGCCTTTTCGTTGGTTGAAACTCTTTTCCCTCCATCAAAGCCATTATGAGTCTCTCAAATTCCGTCATCTAATCACGCTCTACTTTCGTTGGTTGCCTTTTAACTTTTTCCCTCCATTTGCTAGAGTCTCTCAAATTCCGTCATCTAATCACGCTCACTTCCGTTGGTTGCCTTTAATTTTTTCCCTCCATCAAAGCCATTATGAGTCTCTCAAATTCAAATCTCTAATCACGCTCTACTTTCGTTGGTTGGTTTTGAACCTCTTTTTCAAAATAAAGCCATTATTCTCCTCCGTCATCTAATCACGCTTCACTTCGTTGTTGCCTTCTTAGACTCTTTTCCTCCATCAAAGCCATTATGAGTCATCTAATTCCGTCATCTAATCCACCTTCTTTTCGTTGGTTGTCGGAACTCTTTTTCCCTCCATCAAAGCCATTATCAGTCTCTCAAATTCTGTCATCTAATCACGCTCTACTTTCGTTTGGTTGCCTTTGAGACTCTTTTCCCTCCATCAAAGCCATTTGAGTCTCTCAAATTCCGTCATCTAATCACGCTCTACTTTCGTTGGTTGCCTTTTGGAACTCTTTTCCTCCATCAAAAGCCATTATGAGTCCTCAGAATTAATCATCTAATCACGCTCTGCTCGTTGGTTGCTTTGGGTCTTTTTCCCTCATCAAAGCCATTGTACAAGTCTCTCAAATTTCCGTCATCTAATCACGCTCTCACTTTCGTTGGTTGCCTTTGGAACTCTTTCCCTCCATCAAGCCATTATGATCTCTCAAATTCCGTCGTCTAATCACGCTCTGCTTTCGGTGGTTGCCTTTGGAACTCTTTCCCTCCATCAAAGCCATTATGAGTCTCTCAAATTCCGTCATCTAATCACACTCTACTTTGTTGGTGCCAGCCTGGAACTCTTCCTCCATCAAAGCCATTATGAGTCTCAAATTCGTCATCTAATCACGCTCTACTTTGTTTTGCCTTTTGGAGACTCTTTTTCCCTCCATCAAAGCTTCATTATAAGTCTCCTCAAATTCTGTCATCTAATCCGCTCTAATTTCGTTGGTTTGCCTTTGAACTTTTCCCTCCATCAATAGTATAGTCCCTCAAATTCCGTCATCAATGAGCTCTCTCAAATCCTCCATCAAATTCAATCATTCCGTCATCTAATCTTTTCTTTCGTTGCCTTTCGAACTTTTTCTCCATCAAAGCCATTATAGAGTCTCTCAAATTCGTCATCTAATCACGCTCTACTTTCTTTTGGTTGCCTTTTGTACCTCTTTCCCCCTCCATCAAAGCCATTATGAGGTCTCAAATTCCGTCATCTAATCACGCTCTACTTTCGTTGTTTGCCTTTTGGAACTCTTTCCTCCATCAAGCCACAGGAGTCTCTCAAATTCCGTCATCTAATCAAGCTCTACTTTTCGTTGTTTTGCCTTTTGAACTTTTTTCCCTCCATCAAAGCCAGTATGAGTCTCTCAAATTCCGTCATCTAATCACGCTCTACTTTCGTTGTTGCCTTTGGAACTCTTTTTCCCTCCATCAAAGCCATTATGAGTCTCAAATTCTGTCATCTAATCCGCTTCCCCCACTCGTTTGTTTGCCTTTTGAACTCTATTTCCTCCATTTTGAGTCTCTCGATTCCATCAAAGCCATTATGACGCTTTTCCCTCCTCAAATTCCGTCATCTAATCACGCTCTACTTTCGTTGGTGCCTTTGGTTGCCTTTCAGAACTCTCGATTCCATCATCTAATCACGCTCTGCTTTTCGTTGGTGCCTTTTGAACTCTTTCCCTCATCCAAAGCCATTATGAGTCTCCTCAAATTCCGTCATCTAATCACGCTCTACTTTCGTTGGTTGCTGGAACTCTTTTCCCTCCATCAGCCATTATAGTCTCTCAAATTCCGTCATCTAATCACGCTCTACTTTCGTTGGTGCCTTTGGAACTCTTTTTTTCCCTCCATCAGCTACATTATGAGTCTCTCAAATTCCGTCATCTAATCACGCTTTCTACTTTTCGTTGGAACTCTTTGCCTCCATGGGAACTCTAAAGTTCCGTCTTTTTCCACGTTGGTTGCATTTGGACTCATTCCATGAGTCTCTCAAATTCGTCATCTAATCATACGCTCTAATTTTCGTTGGTTGCCTTTGGAAACTTTTTCCGTCATCCATCAAACCGTTGGTTGCCATTCCATCAAAGAGTCTCTCAAATTCCGTCATCTAATCACGCTCTACTTTCGTTGGTTGCCTTTGAACTCTTTTTTCCTCCATCAAGCCATTTCATCTCTCAAGTCTCATCTAAAATTCCCGTCATCTAATCACGCTCTAATACTTTTCGTTGGTTGCTTCGGAACTCTTTTCCTCCATCAAGCCATTATGAGTCTCTCAAATTCGTCATCTAATCACGCTCTACTTTCGTTGGTTGCCTTTCGAACTCTTTTTTCCCCTCCATCAAAGCCATTATGAGTCTCTCAAATTCCGTCATCTAATCACGCTCTACTTTCGTTGGTTGCCTTGGTACTCTTTTCCCTCCATCAAAAGCCATTATGAGTCTCAAATTCCGTTATCTAATCACGCCTCTACTTTCGTTGGTTGCCTTGGAACTCTTTTCCCTCCATCAAAGCCATTATGAGTCTCTCAAATTCCGTCATCTAATCCGCTCTACTTTCGTTGGTTGCCTTTGGAACTCTTTTCCCTCCATCAAAGCCATTATGAGTCTCTCAAATTCCGTCATCTAATCACGCTCTACTTTCGTTGGTTGCCTTTGGAACTCTTTTCCCTCCATCAAAGCCATTATGAGTCTCTCAAATTCCGTCATCTAATCACGCTCTGCTTTCGTTGGTTGCCTTTGGAACTCTTCCCTCCATCAAGCCATTATGAGTCTCTCAAATTCGTCATCTAATCAGCTCTACTTTTTTCATTTGCCTTTGGAACTCTTTTCCCCTCCATCAAAAGCCATATTATGAGTCTCTCAAATTCATCATCTAATCACGCTCTACTTTTCGTTGGGTTGCCTTTGGAACTCGCTCTCCTTTCGTTGGTTTTTCGGAACTCTTTTCCCTCCATCAAAAGCCATATGAGTCTCTCAAATTCGTCATCTAATCACGCTCTTCTTTCGTTGGTTGCCTTTTGAACTCTTTTCCCTCCATCAAAGCCATATTATGAGTCTCTCAAATTCCGTCATCAAAGCCATTATGAGTCTCTCAAATTCCAAATCACCTAATCACTCTACTTTTCGTTGGTTGCCTTTGGAACTCTTTTCCTCCATCAATACATTATGAGTCTCAAAATTCCGTCATCTAATCACGCTCTACTTTCGTTGATTTGCCTTTGGAACTCTTTTCCCTCATCAATACATTATGATCCTCTCTCAATTAATCCATCAATCACGCTCTACTTTCGTTGGTTGCCTTTGAACTCTTTCCTCCATCAGCCATTATGAGTCTCTCAAATTCCGTCATCCTAATCGCATCTACTTTCGTTAACTTGGTTGCATTTTGGAACTCTTTTTCCTCCATCAAAGCCATTATAGTCCTCTCAAATTCCGTAATCTAATCACGCTCTACTTTCGTTGATTTGCCTTTGGACTCTTTTCCTCCATCAAAGACATTATGAGTCTCTCAAATTCAAATCATCTAATCCGCTCAACTTTCATTGAGAGCCAAATTCTTCCCTCCATGAGTCTCTCAAATTCGTCATCTAATCATCGCTTTTCGTTGGTTGGAACTCTTTTCCCTCCATCAAAGCCATTATGAGTCTCTCAAATTTCATCATCTAATCCGCTCTCTTTTTCGTTGGTTGCCTTTGAACTTTTCCCTCTATCAAAGCCATTATGAGTCTCTCAAAATTCCGTCATCTAATCTGCTCTACTTTCGTTGGTTGCCTTTGGAACTCTTTTCCCTCATCAAAAGCATTATGAGTCTCTCAAATTCTGTCATCTAATCACGCTCTGCTTTCGTTGGTTGCCTTTGGAACTCTTTTCCTCCATCAAATAAATTATGAGTCTCTCAAATTCAAATCGTCTAATCGCTCTACTTTCGTTGGTTGCCTTGGGAACTCTTTTCCTCCATCAAAGCCATTATAATTCTCTCAAATTCCGTCATCTAATCACGCTCTAATTTCGTTGGTTGCCTTTGGAACTCTTTCCCCTCCATCAAAGCCATTATGAGTCTCAAATTTCCGTCATCTAATCACGCTCTACTTTCGTTGGTTGAACTCTTTTCCCTGTAAAATAAGTATAACTCAAATTTTCATCCACGCTCTCTTTCAGTTCTGGAACTCTTTCCCTCAAAATTATGAGTCTCTCAAATTCCGTCATCTAATCGCTCTCTACTTTTTCGTTGGTTGCCTTTTGAACTCTTTTCCCCTCCATCAACCATTATGGGTCTCTCAAATTCATCATCTAATCAAGCTCTACTTTCGTTGTTTTGCCTTTGGAACTCTTTTCCCCTCATCAAAGCCATTATGATCTCTCAATTCCGTCATCTAATCACTCTCTAATTTCGTGGTGCCTTTCGAACTCTTTCCCTCCATCAAAACCATTATGAGGTCTCTCAAATTCCGTCATCTAATCACGCTCTACTTTCGTTAGTTTGCCTTTCGAACTCTTTTCCCTCCATCAAAGCCATTATAGAGTCTCTCAAATTCCGTCATCTAATCACGCTCTGCTTTCGTTGGTTGCCTTTGGAACTCTTTTTCCTCCATCAAACCATATTATGAGTCTCTCAAATTCCGTCATCTAATCCACGCTCTCTTTTCGTTGGTTTGCCTTTGGAACTCTTTTCCTCCATCAAGCCACAGGAGTCTCTCAAATTCGTCATCTAATCACGCTCTACTTTCGTTGGTTGCCTTTGGAACTCTTTTCCCTCCATCAAAGCCATTATGAGTCTCTCAAATTCCGTCATCTAATCACGCTCTACTTTCTGTTGTTGCCATTGGAACTCTTTTCTCCATCAAAGCCATTATGAGTCCTCTCAAATTCTGTCATCTAATCACGCTCTACTTTCGTTGGTTTGCCTTTTGAACTCTTTTCCCTCCATCAAAGCCATTATGAGTCTCTCAAATTCCGTCATCTAATCACGCTCTACTTTCGTTGGTTGCCTTTTGGAACTCCCTTTGAGTCTCCATCAAAGCTTTCGTTGATTTGCATTATGAGTCTTTTCCCTCAAATTCCGTCATCTAATCACGCTCTACTTTCGTTGGTTGGTTGAACTCTTTTTTCCAACTCTATTTCCCTCGTCATCTAATCAGCTCATTATGAGTCCTCAAAGTTCTCAAATCATCTAATCACGCTCTACTTTCGTTGGTTGCCTGGGAACTCTTTTCCCTCCATCAAAGCTTTCATTATGAGTCTCTCAAATTCGTCATCTAATCACGCTCTATTTTCGTTGGTTGCCTTGGAAACTTTTTCCTCCATCAAAGCCATTATGAGTCTCTCAAATTCGTCATCTAATCACGCTCTACTTTCGTTGGTTTGCCTTTGAACTCTTTTTTCCATCCATCAAAGCTTTCATTATGAGTCTCTCAAATTCCGTCATCTAATCACGCTCTACTTTCGTTGGTTGCCTTTTGAACTCTTTTCCTCCATCAAGCCATTATGAGTCTCTCCAAATTCCGTCATCTAATCACGCTCTACTTTCGTTGGTTGCCTTTGGAACTCTTTTTCCTCCATCAAAGCCACCTTGAGTCTCTCAAATTCCGTCATCTAATCACGCTCTACTTTCGTTGGTTGCCTTTTGGAACTCTTTTCCCTCCATCAAAGCCATTGCGAGTCTCTCAAATTCCGTCATCTAATCACGCTCTTTACTTTTCGTTGGTTGCCTTGGAACTCTTTTGCCCTCCATCAAAGCCATTATGAGTCTCTCAAATTCCGTCATCTAATCACGCTCTACTTTCGTTGGTTGCCTTTGGAACTCTTTTCCCTCCATCAAAAGCCATTATGAGTCTCTCAAATTCCGTCATCTAATCACGCTCTACTTTCGTTGGTTGCCTTTGGAACTCTTTTCCCTCCATCAAAGCCATTATGAGTCTCTAAATTCCGTCATCTAATCACGCTCTACTTTCGTTGGTTGCCTTTGGAACTCTTTTCCCTCCATCAAAGCCATTATGAGTCTCTCAAATTCCGTCATCTAATCACTCTTTTCTACTTTCGTTGGTTGCCTTTTGGAACTGGAACTTTTCCTCCATCCATGCATTATGAGTTTCTCAAATTCCGTCATCTAATCACGCTCTACTTTCGTTGGTTGCCTTTGGAACTCTTTTCTCCATCAAACGCTCTACTTTCGTTATTATGAGTCTTTTCCCTCAAAAACCGCAGGTCTCTCATCTAATCACGCTCTACTTTTCGTTGGTTTGCCTTTGGAATCTTTCCCTCCATCAGCCGTAATATGAGTCTCTCAAATTCCGTCATCTAATCACGCTCTACACTTTTTTGGTTGCCTTTGGAACTCTTTTCCCTCCATCAAAGCCATTATGAGTCTCTCAAATTCCGTCATCTAATCACGCTCTACTTTCATTGTTTGCCTTTGGAACTTTTTTCCTCCATCATCAAAGCCATTATGAGTCTCTCAAATTCTGTCATCTAATCACGCTCTCTACTTTCGTTGGTTGCCTTTGGAACTCTTTCCCTCCATCAAAGCCATTATGAGTCTCTCAAATTCGTCATCTAATCACGCTCTACTTTCGTTGGTTGCCTTTGGAACTATTTGAGTTTCCCTCCATCAAAGCCATTATGCCAAACTCTTTTTTCTGTCAAATTCCGTCATCCTAATCACGCTTCTACTTTCGTTGGTTGCCTTTGAACTCTTTTTCCTCCATCAAAGCCATTATGAGTCTCTCAAATTCGTCATCTAATCACGCTCTACTTTCGTTGGTTGCCTTTGGAACTCTTTTCC